CCCCCCCACACACACCCTTAATCCGCCCCTGCTGAGACGGGTGTTATCGTTAACCTTTACTCTGTTTATTTACAGATAACGTTCTACCGCCGGGTTTGCATGCTCGAGGAAACCAGGGTGAAAGCAAAAAAAACAGCCCCAGTAAACTAACTGTAGGCCTAGTGGTAACTTTCATTGTACTTCTTTTAATTGCAATAGGAATAATAGGATTCTTGTTGTATCGAAAAAAGAGAAGTCATCAGTTCGCCTATCAGAAACAAGTTCTCTATTCTGAAGACAAAGCAGAAGAATTTGAAATTTTTACTTGAAGATTGACTAAGTCTTCTTGGAAAATTTATTTTAGAACAAAGTCGTTATTATACGACTGAATGAGTGTCAGTTTTTTGAATGGACCTAAGGTATTATTCCGGTTAAATGTCTCCTCGTAAAGTATGGTCGCCTATAAATCAGTCTACAATTAATGAAAAATTCTTGGGACACCGTTGTTGTCTTTCCCCACTTGAAACAGGAAATGTTAAATAGTTCCCTTCTCTCAAGTATCAATGTCGTGTAGCGTGAACAATTTCCTTCGATGACTGGAAGGGGGGCCCGGACAGGGGACGCAGGAGAACCTCAGTTCCGCTCCATTCGTGACGAATTGTCATGTTTTTGGTATTGAAATGTCCCAAGGAATTATGACTGTGACTGTAGGTATAGAGCGGAAAAACTAGAGTGTCTCTAAATGAAATGTCACCGACAAGCAATGCCTGACTTTTGCCAGAGCCATGAAAATTGTGGTTTAGGGCAAGGAAAAATGTATACTACGGTGTTAGGAAAGGGAATAGCAGTTCATAAATACAGCTTTATAAAATTCGTTCCCAAAACAATTCAGCCTGAAAGAACTGGAACACCTCAAACTGTATCATTGTTTACAAATATAACATTTAAGCCAAACAGAAAAGAACATTCCAAGCTTCCCAAATGTATTCTTCAGTGCCCCTGATATAATTATGTAGGTGTAAAAGAAGTTCACCGCGTTATAATTCCCTTCCACGGTTTTCAATTGAGGTTTGCTTAACAAAATAATACATATTAGATCGGACAAACTTAACACCATCAGTTTAATAAAAAGAGCAATTTTTTTGCAAGACTACGAAAACGTTATTTCCCTGCAGCTATGCAATTGAAGGACTGAATTCCACACACCTATACCAGACACGTAATTTCGCGTCAATATCACTTGAAAATTAAAACTCTTATCGCCCGACGAGTAGTGACATCACGAAATGTACGGGTCTAGCGATGAATTTCTCTATGCAATCCAAAAAATTGTTATATTTTTTGACTGACAGATGTAAATGTTTATCTTGTAAGGAGTTACCTTTCATAAACGCCGGTATAAGGCTAAAGACGTAAAACCTGCTAAACAGTATTGAAAATTAAGTCTGCTTAGCTTATCAAAGATTTGCTTCTTTATTTGAAGTTAATGAGGTACTTTATACAACGAAGGGTTGCAATAAATAAAATAAGGAAGTTGACCACTTTGTGGACTGATTAGCGATCATGAGCATGACGTAAAAACCATCAGGATCACGCGGTTTCTTGTCAAACATTTTATGAATCAAGAGGCCATGATCTATTGTAGTTTCTTGTATAAATCTAATAGGATTTTTCTGCTCCTACTTGGTATTGAAGAGTCAGGTGACGTAAAGCAATAGAGAGCAAAAATACAAAAGAACAAGCGAATGAAGAATACAATGAAGACAATGGGTTTGTGAGGCGGTGTTCTCTTGTGATGTGCACGGTGTCTTCTACACCAAGAAGTAGCCGATTTTTTTAAATATTTCGCGTTTTATTTCACTTTCTGTTGAAACATACGCTGTATACAATTCCGTAGCGCCCTAAAGAAAAACATTTTTTCCCTAACTCTACCCCCCTCTCCTCCCTTACGCGCAGACATTTACCCTAAGCTCACCCTCAAGCAGTGAATGGTTGATTAGGACCAGTCTCCAACGCGAGTGATTCGATGCGTCCGCAATGCTCTCCTCAAGTGTACCGAAACAACCACGGCTGGCGGCTCATCCTAAATTTTCCCTCTCGTCAAATCATGACGTCACTGCATGAAACGTAATGGCAATGCTTACGTACCCCTATACAAGATGACAAAGTTTTCTATATTTTGGGGGCGTTTTTTTTTTTAAAAAAAAATCCTCTCGCCCGCAAAGCCGTTTTTAGTTAATCTGTGTCTAAAAACAGAGAGGTGTGTACGCCTGAAGAGAACTTCTGTTCATATTAAGGATATGTGAATAAAACAGCTCTGTAGTCATAAGATTTGAGATTTTGCCATGGCTTTCCAGGTGCGAAAACTTTCCTGGACGTTCAAGAAACGGGCCCCAGCTCCCAGTTGGCTTGATAGCTCAGTTGGTAGAGCACTGCACCGGCATCGTAAAGGTCATGGGCTCGAATCCCGTTCAGGCCTGAATTTATTTTCAGGCTTTAATTTCACAACTGCTAAAGTTGTGTGTATAACTACAATGATCAATCATATCTTTAACCCTTTCTTTTGTTCCAATAAATTTGCATGGCTGCCGGTCATGTGAGCGAAAAAGCGGGAAATGACTGTTGAGCATTCTTTCAATTTTATATGACTTCTTCTTTGCTATTCTGTAGAATATCTCAAAGCTACAACATTCAAAATGGTGGTCCCATAGACACGCACCAAAACGAGGCGCACATAATTATTAAAGGGGGGAATCGAAGCGCATGCATTACAGTGACGTCTTTGCTATCCTCGCTGATTGTGTTGAAAATACACCAGATTATCGAGTGGTAAGAGGGTGGTAGCAGTGATTGTGTCAATTGTTGTTTTTATCACAAGAAAACGAAATTCGTATCTTTGCGCCGAGGTAGAAAATGAAAATTTCAAAACGAAACGACTACACAAAGGCGGAAAATGATGTTATCGACATCCTCGAAATCGAAACTACGCCATTTGGGTGCCGGATGTGGCTTTGTACGAGTTCAACGCGAGGTCCATTTTCATGTCAAGACCTCGAGTCTATGTAAATTACCCAAGTCTACATTAATTATAATTTAAGACATTGAGCGTTTTTGTAACGCTTTTGATCGCTCCACCGCTTGCTCGTGGGTAATGTTATTGATCATGAAAGTTCAAACTTGAGACACTGTTTTCCAACAGATTACCAATACAGTTAATGCTGTTTATACTTGTGATTAATATCACTAAGTGTTGTAAATATGGGACTATGCAGTCTTTGTCATTTAAATAATTGCGGTTGAAAACACAGTATCAGCTTTGAAAACGATCATATTATCGAATGGCCGATAGACAAAGATCTAACAAGAGACTACATCATGGTCTCTTGGATTAATTCAACCATACAATCCACATTGTTCAAGATTTCAGCTCTTGCGTTCAGCTTCAATTTCTTTTAGTCTGCTTTTTGCTGCATGAGCCTCACGCGCCGGTCAGTCAAGCGAATCGTGAGTCAGCGGATTCCTTCCCATGTCTCAAATTAAAAGGCATAAATAATATCTCAGTTTTCCTTGCTGCAAAACCGGAAATTTGCATTCGTCGACTTCAACACGGACAAGGTGAAGATGAATCGCTTCGGGTGGGTTTTATTCGTTGCATTGGAAATTTCCCTCGTAAATTACGCGTCTAGTTCAACACACCAGAAGTTGAATAGCACGTTATTCGCCGATTGTGCAAAAGCGGGCTACAATGTTACCGGATTTTATCCAGACAGAACACAGAAACAACTTTCCGGTTCATTTGCAAGTATGCGGAGCAAGTTTAAAAACTGTTCTTCGCTATCAGGTTTAATGACTTGTTCGCTTCAGCTTCCAAAACGTCCAACGGTAGTTCCAACTTTACCGTGCAAAGAAGCGTGCAAGAATTTTGTTTCAGACTGCCAGAACAGGTCGAGCGTGAACGATGGACTGATTGCTTTATTCAGAGATATTTGTGAGCTCCTTCCTTCGGACAAATGCTTGCCAACGACAAACAACTTCAGTAACAGTGCTCCTGGTAAGTGAAGAATGTCTTTTATCCTAATATTATAATCGCCTGAATCAGGAACTAGTTGATTTGCATCGTAATTATGGCTCGTGGGCAGAATGTTGCAAGTCTACTCGAGAAATAATATAGTCTTTCGATCAACCATAAAACTTGTTATTGTAGCGTACGTGCAATAAGGTGACGTAGACGCGGCTTAAATGTTGAACGTTATCCTTTATATCATGTGGATGCGCGCTAAAAGCACGCTAACTGATATGGTTGACCGACTCAGTAGACAGAATTTGACGCAGCTACTTAACAAGTAAATTTCTCTCGAGAAAAAGGTATTAGCAGGTGCCTGTGCATGGTAAAAGCGAATATATTCATCACTCACTCCTCCAAAACAAATAACAGTGGCCAACGATAGTTGATGAATTCTTTTAATTTGCATTTATGTCGTTTACCAGCCAAATTTACTTACGGACAAAGCACTTGTCAAGACAGCCAATGACACCAGGCACCCAATGTTTATCAAATTTGCTCCAAAACAGACAATGTAGACATAACAGTAATGATTACGAATACCTATTCCAAAACTTTTCACTTTCCTTTTGTTTGCTTATATAAGTTTTTTTCACGTTCTTTTCCAGAAGATGTCAATTGCAGACGACTCACCATAAAGCAGTGCCAAAATGCTGGATACAACTTCACTTCAGTGTCAGATGCATACCAGCAGATGGTGGAATCAAGCGCAATCTTTCAGGACGGCGGTGTCAACTCCACGCTGCGAAGAATAATCTGCATGGAGATTGCACCACCTTGCGATGCCAAAAATAAGCAGAAATTAATTGTTCCCTGTAGATCTTTGTGTGATGACGCATATAATGAGTCACAGTCAGAGTTTGTGAAAGTTTTCAAGACTCAAAAATACTGCTCAACGTTTCCGGAGTCTCCAGAGAACACAACTGGGGATAGGAGAGAATATTGCACTCTCCAGACTTGGCCAGATAATGGATATTGGCCAAGTGGTTTGTGGGAATCCCTTACCACAACAGGTATGTAATGAATAATAATGGACAGATTATTCCATACGACCAGGAGAAGGGGAAAAAAATGGCGTTAAACAGGGAACAGTTGAATGTATTTTTGGATTACTAAAACAAATCTTCTATGGGCACGAGAAATGATCATCGGTCGAGTTGTGTTTTTTTCATTTTGTTGCTGTCGTTGTTCAGTCGTTTATTTTCTTTGGCCGTGATCGAGTTATACGTGATGTATGCGGGAAGTATGGAGAAAGCGTAAGGGGTAGTTGAGGCCCAACTGCAGCCTTCTTGAGTGCTCTCAAAACTTTCTAAGTGTATCATAAGTCGATGATGTAATCAGATGAAACAATGATTCAATTGCTTTAGAACATTGCCAACGGTAAAAAATTTATTTGGCAAAGCAAAACCGGCTAACTTTGCGGCCGTCATGAGCGTACACCACTGGGTTGCTATGCGCGATCACGTGTGCGTCTTTGCGGGCTGTTTTCATGGAAAATGGAGATATATGTTTTTTCACTGTTTATTTTTAGGTTTCGCTTCCGTATTTCTTTCCCCATGCTTGGCGAAACAGTCTTCCGCTTTCTGCACTTTAATTAGAAGTATTTTCCAGATCCCTGTCTCCACATGCTGTGGTTTTTCTCTTTCAGTTGTAATTTTTCAATCGCTTTCATTTAGGTCAGCAACCGACGCCTCCAACCATGGCTAACAAAACCACGCCTGTACCGTCGTTTAATACAACCACGCCTACGCCGACTTCAAGTGCAACCACGCCTGCACCGACGGTTAATACAACCACGCCTGCACCGAAGGTTAGCGCAACCACGCCTACACCGACGGTTAATACAACTACGTCTCATACATCCAAGCCCGTGTCGACGACCAGTGTGACCGCCTCTGTTTCGAAAGCTAATGGAACCACGCCTGCACCCACAACTAAAGTTACCACGCCTGCTTCCACAGCTAATGGAACCACGCCTGCACCCACAACTAAAGTAACCACGCCTGCAGCTTCGACTAAGGGAACCATGCCTGCATCCACAGCCATTGAAACCACGCCTGCACCCACAACTAAAGTAACCACGCCTACACCCTCTACTAAGGGAACCACGCCTGCATCCACAGCTAATGAGACCACGCCTGCATCTTCGACTAAGGAAATCACACCTGCACCAACAACTAAAGTAATCACGCCTACACCTTCTACTAATGGAACCACGCCTGCATCCACAGCTAATGAGACCACGCCTACATCTTCGACTAAGGAAACCACACCTGCACCCACAACTAAAGTAACCACGCCTACACCTTCTACTAATGGAACCACGCCTGCACCCACAACTAAAGTAACCACGCCTACATCCAAAGTTAATGTAACCACGCCTGCATCCAAAGCTAATGTAACCACGCCCACATCTTCTACTAAGGAAACCACGCCTCCATACACAGCTAATAAAACCCAGACCGCACCTTCTACTAAGGGAACCACGCCTGCATCCACGCCTAAAGGAACCAAGCCTGCATCTTCTTCTAAGCCTGCACCTACGTCTCATAAGTCAAGTACAAGCAGCGGTTCAACTTCTGGAATGAAAGGTAAGAGCCAACCAAAAGTGAAAGTTTGGTTATTATCAGGAATATCAGCTCTGGTAAAAAATCTTTCCCTCGTCACAAAACGTTGAATGTTTCACAGTAAAGAGGGCGAAGTGAGTGAAGGCGTGAGTTAATATTTTGAGAGTTTCAGTTCATTTTGTTTCTCGTTTCGCAGTCTTAAAAATCAATAGAATACTCGCAGTCTGTTTTCCTTTCGAAATTCAGAGAGAGAGGAGTATGGGGCGACGGCTTTTAGACGAGAAGGGATTGAGATGAGACGAGACAAGGGTGGCGCACTCCTTCGCTTCACTCCCGCCATTTTTTGCGTTCGCGTTTGCAGAGATGAAACGCCCGTAGGAGTCTAGAAAACAAAAAGCATCTGGAAATTCAGGGAAGATTACTTATTTTTTGCTTAAAAATGCCGAAAGATGGCTAGGTCCGGACTGCTGTTCCTACTTGTGCGACAATGAAGCAATAGTCTATTTTACGAGTAACTTTTCTTATTTATATAACGGTAAAATTCAACATGGATGTGTGGCAATTTCAGAAAGAAACTACTTAATTCCCGTAGCGCTGTTAGACCTTCTCGCCTTCGTGTTCATTACTAATCAAGTATATATCTCGTACTCATTGTAAAATAGCGCGTTCCATTTATCTCGTTGAACTTTATTTCTAGCTCACACCAAAGGTTCGTCTCCTCCAGTTGCCAGTGCAAGTAATGGCGGGAAAATGTCTGCAGGAGCCATCGCTGGTACAGTACTTGGTCCACTAGCACTCCTGCTCGCCATTGTAGTTGGCGCCATTTTTTTCAGAAGATATCACCGAACGAAAAGTCAATACAGACACAGTCTTATGGTGGATATGGATGAATTGTAACTTAACAAATGACTGTGCAGTGAGTTAAGTCTTTATTACAGTGGTGGTACACGACCTGTGCGAGATTTAAACTTGAATTTTTTGCGACAGTTTACTCTTTTAATAGCGAAGGAAACATTGTCTGTATTTTGTGGTACATACTTCTTAGTTATCTTTCCACTGCAGGATCACCACTGTAAAATAATTATTTTCCTTTCAAGAAACAGGAGTTCAAGTAGCTTTATTAGAAATAGATCTCTTTGTTGTTATCTGATAGCGTACCAAGAGAAAAAAGGCTTTTCTCTATAATGTTTTTTTTTTTAATTGCCTTATTTGTAGTGGCAGGTATTTTGGTTTTTGATAGTTAATGCAAGCTGTATGACTAGTTTTGATACGTAACTATTTTCGAAAAATATTTGCCCAGGACAGAACTTACAAGTGTTCAGTGTACGATCAAAGGTTCTGTACGATTGCTAAGTATAAGTTAAAATATGAGAAGCCCAAAACCGCAGACATGGAAAGTTTTGCTTTGAATAAAGCTTTTGGTGTTGTACTGACAGTGCCTATAACAGAAAATTTAAACGAGCCGAGAAAACGGCAACGAAAACAATTGATAGGCACGATATTTTAAAACAGTACCAACGGCCCCGTTACATTTGTAAGCTGGGGGGAGTCGGAGAAGGAAAAAATTCCAACAATCTTCTTCTGAGTTATAGCACTCTCACTATTGGGACTTGTTTTCGACGCGCGCGCTTCCGCCCCGGTGGTCGCGCTCTGTGCTCCTACCTCGCGCGTTGAGCTCTGCCTCGCTAATCCTGCTTCACCTTCGCAGGACCAGATGACTGAGGGATGGAGGGTTGGGTAACTTTCTAGGGCATGAAATTTTTTTCTAGCCTTTAGGTTGTGCATGACTTTTTTTGTGGGCAATAGCTTGTGCATGTCAAACACAGTACCTGTATAGTAGAAAGCACTTGCTTGATTTTTTTTTTTTTTTTCCATGGCTTCCCTTGCACGATATTTTTTCAGCCTTTTTTGCCGTGCAGGAATATGTTTTCGATATTTGCCCAGTCCCCACCTCCCAGACGCCACTCAGTAGTGGCGGCGAACTTCCACGTTGTCTTACGCCTACACTTTCGCTACTCAGCGGATTCTCCTCACACGAAATACCCTGCATGAGCTTCTTTGCGTGAAAGAGAGAAAGGTCACGTCACTGTTGAAGAAATTCAGCGCTTCATAAATAGAGGATATTACACGGTGGCGAGAAGATATGAATTTTATGTTCGAGTGGCAAGAACAATATCTCACAGAGTGAGCGAAGCACAAGTGGCTTCTTTAGGGTCGAACTTGACTTTTAGTCATGAAAGATGGATTTATTTGACATCAAACTAAGGCTAGGAGTATCAAGTAAACATTCTGTGGGAGATAAATCGACTGCTTTCAATGTTTACATCTTTCGAATATTAACTGAGCGATAGCGGCCCAATTCTACCGGAAGTCACTATTGAGAGCCGATCGAGTACACTAAAATCGTTTGAATTGTCCCATAAATCGGGAGTCCTCGATCTTCTTCATTCATTTGAGGTCAGTAATTATCATATATTTCTCTAAACGGTATATCAGCTGTTTACATAGCATGTCGACAGATGGAATGTCGTGAGATGGTCGAAAGATGTCGCCTATGCACGTAACACTGAAAGCGGGTGTAAATCATACAGTTTTCTAAAAGGTTGATTTACGTTATAGAACAAACAGAACTACAAACAGCTTGCTCCGTACAGATACATCAAACGTGTGTCTTGATCATGGCTGTTCTTACTGAATATCATCTTGTTGTCTACTATACCCGATGGCGGCTGCACGGCTGCGCCACCTCAACCAGATAATTCCTGCCAGCACGAATCCCACAAAACCCAGGGATGCCACGACAGCTACGGCGATGACCCACGCTTTGGGACCTTCGGTTTCAGGCTCTTCTGTTGGTGCTACTGTTGATTCTGTGAGAAGATCCAAAATTATAGTTATAGCATAGTTTATTAACTTCCTATAGGACTCTGTGGTCGGATGCGTGTCTTTCTCTGCTGGGCTAGAAACGTAACTACGGTGGCTTTTCACACCCTGGGCCCGGTGGTTCGAGAGCAGGTTAACTCCAAACAGGATTAAAAGTTAACCGAAGTATTAGTTTTTCTTGTATAAAGGTGTTTTTCACTGCTCATGTTTTGTGCAGTTTGAGATTATTCAAACTCAAAACTGCATGAAGGACAAGCAATATAAACAGAAAACCTCACCGAAAAGTTACAAAACTGAAATCAAAATTCTTACTAACCCTGGTTTAGCTTAATCCGGCTTTAAATAGCCTGTCCCTGGAGTGTAAATGGCTAGGTTTTAAGGTAATCTAACGAGACCCTTCGGGGGTGGTCAACATGGTGTTAGACGAGCATCCATCACTTCTAGTTTCTTCATGCAATTAAAACGAGCAAAATGTTCAATAGTGTGCGTTAGTGGATTGAGTACAACTAATCCTTAATTAGGAACAATTAGGTTAGCACTAACCTAAATACTTGAGCCAAAAAAATGGTCTTGGCCATTCTGTACGATCACAATAACCGTGACTAGCGTGTCCATCTGCCAACAGGCCACAATACTCTACATCCATGAAACGATTTCTGAAAAACAAAAATGGCACATAAATGAGCAGTCGTGAAAACTAATCAAAATGAAGCTTTTAGAGGGACTGGAGGTCAATGCTTAATTCATAGTATAACGTAGCCTAAAGTCTTCTTGATGGAATTCTAATCCATCCAGCGGCCGTTCTGCGAGGGTTTCCTGAACAATTTGCTGGTAGCGATCTGTATCTCTGGGCAGAGAGAGGCACTGGAATGATATGGAATATTGTCAAGTGGTCTCTGAATTTAATTAAACATACACACAATTGAACACTCACTAGCAAGATAATTACCTGAAATAAGCCGGGCAGTCTCTAATGATGTCATTACAAACCGAACTGCACAAGGTCTTAAATACGGGACTCCCTTCATCCGGGAAACATGGAGGAAACAGCTCTCCACAAAACAACTTCTTGATATTTGTTTGGCACTTGGGAAACTTTGAAAGTTCTTTTTCCACGTTCTTTGGAAAGGCGGCTTCTAAATTTCCACCGTCGTACGTTATAAAGTCTGTTATAAAGCCATTTGTAAAACTTCTTTTGGACGGACTCCGAAAATAAAGTGTGCTGGTAAATACCCAAGTTTTTACAGGCAGGAAAGATCAACTTTTGACAGCCACGATCCAGTGGACCTAAAATAAAAAAAAGAAGCAAAGAGCAAACTAAGTCTGCAATACGTAAATACTAGCATTTCCATAGCTACTGGTTTTGAAATGTCCTTGACCACGTGACGAGAAGAAGAAAACGTTCTGGAACGAGAATGACGTGTCTCTTGTAAGGCATGAATTAAACCTCTGCGCAGTAGTTCCCCACCCTCATCCCCCTCCAAAAATAAAACAATCCTGTATTACCCAACGTATTTTTGCAATTAGAAACATAAATGAGAAATGATATTAGAGCATTCAAATTTTGTTTCCTGCTATTGTTAGACGTACAGTAGCGCATCCGTTCCTCTCCCATAAAAGAGGAATCAGATTTGATGATAAATATGACCGAAATCTTTCTAATTGTTATCAAAGGAAACTCTTGCTTTGTGATAGAAAAACAGTACACATTACAAAGAGTGTCAGTTCTGTCATGTCAAGACATTCAAGATCTAGTAGCGTACTACCAACCTTCCAGAATCCTCCGATCATCACACTTATTACTTCTTAACCCCTCTAATTTTCACCTGAAGACGTATGGTTCTCGAGCTTTTGCTGTTTCCGCTCCTGAACTCTGGAACAGTCTACCTGTTTCTATCCGCTCATGTGACAATCNTTACTTACCAGTTAGCCTACTCAGCCAATCTTAAACCGTAGTATAACCAAAACCAAAAACAAAGTAATTGTCTGATTACTTTCGACACTCAATTGAAAACTGCTCTGTCAAAGTTGGGACAACTATAAGTTTGAAGGGTTTGCACCCCATGGGAGAGTCTTGGTGTTGCACAACCCTCTCCCCTGTCACAGGGAGTGCATGTCCACTCACAGTAGATGTTTGAATGTACAGAGGGAAAAAACCAAAATATTTAAAATCAACTAGATACCGGTATTACAGGGAATTACTCACCTGTTAGACCAGGAAGTACTAACACTGTGGGTCTAGAAGCTGCATCTTTATAAACAGTGCTAGTGTCATTATCGAACCAGTCCAAGCACACAATTCCACCATCTGGGGTCTCCAAGGTTTCCCTGGTACCACACATAGGGCTCATTAACATTTCAAGTAATATATCAAACACGAAAGACCGTGTTTGACCACATTTCCACCGAGAAGAGAGTTGAAAATATGACACGCAGTGAAGTATTTTTGACGAACTTCAAGGTGTTTGGAAATGTGGTCAAACACTGTCTTGAGTGTTTGATATATCTTGTCAATCAAAACTAAAACTAAGGAGAAAATGGACAAATAAAATCGTAAAAATCTATGCTAATTAAGTTCAGATATCCAAACACCGTCACGGTCATGATTTTCTTTGTTTAAACTTGATGAATTATTAATGAGTTTAAGAACTATGTTTAGAAAGTGCTTTGGAAAGTTATAGACTTCATTTTCACTTTTTACCATTTACCCCATAGGTAGCATTTTTCTTTTCACGTAAAATCTGGCTAAACAACAGGGGTTTCATAATTTGATGTTTTCAGCAGGAGGGTAACTGGTTTTACAGAATCCTCTTTCTACCTTCCAGAATCCTCCGATTATCACACTTATTACTTCTTAACCCCACGAATTTTCACCTGAAGACGTATGGTTCTCGAGCTTTTGCTGTTTCCGCTCCTGAACTCTGGAACAGTCTACCTGTTTCTATCTGCTCATGTGACAATCTAAGTTCTTTTAAATCTAAACTCAAACTTATTATTCTTAGCGATTTTTACCTTCTATTACTTTCTTAAATGCACATTTTTAATTATTAAGATTAGTACAGCTCATTCTGGCGAATTGTACAGCGCCTAGAGCAGGCATGGATAGGCGCTATATAAATATTTATTTATT